AGGTTCTCCATCGAGGCGTCCCGCACTTTCTCGAGCATCTCGCAGCATGCTTGACATGGCTCGGTGTTGACGCGTGCGAAAGAGAGGTCGTCGTTCTTCGGCTTGAAGTCGTTCTTTTTCTGCTTTGCTAGCTGGGCCGCGAGCCACGCGATAACAGCTACCAGTGTTCAGCACGCGACAAGATTGAAGCGAGACCGTACGCACCATCCATTATCTTGAGCAACACAGTGTTGACAGACGACTCGATGCGACCAATCGTCTGGTTATTGTAGATGACCATCTCGCGCCGCACAGTAACCGACGAGCTCGCCAACGGGAGCAGCGCGATGTTCGTATACTGCTGCCACAGCGTACAAATGAGATCGACGCTCCTCAGCGTCGCAAGCGGCGCGACACTTGGCTCGAGTTTGGCGTCGCGCGCATCGAGGCGAGCGACTGCAGTGTCCAGCGCTGCTTCGACGTACGACCGACCGAGCGCCTCGGAGATGACGCGGAGTAGCGCAAACGCCTGCTTGGGCACTTCTGTGCTCGCGCCGAACTCGACGCAGCGCCCCACGGCTTCCGCATGCCACTTGAGCATCTTCTCCGCGACCTCGACGCTCAGCTCTCCGTCTGCCTCGCGCACCGGGTCCTCCGCAGGCTTGCCATCCTTCTCCGTACTTGCTGCTGCTGGCGCTGCCGCAGACGATGTGGTGATGCCGCTGAACTTCATGAATGCTGCTGTAGCCTTTGCTGCTGTTGTTGTCCCAGAGCTGCCGGTCGACGATGTTGTCGTCGCGCCAAGCTGGTTCACTACACGGTCAAAGAGACCCGTCGCCTTTGTCTTGGACGCGATTTCCTACCGCAAGGTCAGCGAACAGGACGGTATAGAGAAGTCCGAGTACGGACATGATACTTCGTGAACCGGCTCAAGAACGCCGAGTACAGTTCTCCAAGACTCTTGCTCTCCCGCTCCAAGTACTGCCCAATCTCTCTCGAGAACAATTCTTCCATGGCGGAATCCAAGATGTTGCCCACGGCGGTCGAGCTGCTCCCACTGGACGCAGGTCCACCTGGAGTAGACACGGACAACCTATCGCCCGCACTAGAGGGTCGAGAGATGGCCGTGAGTTCGAAGGTCTTGAGGTAGTCTACGAGTGCCGAAGTCTGTACATGGGCCAGATGGAGCATGCGCAGGAACGACAAATTCGAGAGGCCCGAGGCTTTGCTGAGTAGCTGCTCGATGTACTGCTGTATCGGCTGGCCGAATACACGTTGCAAGAACACCTGCATCACCGCAGGCGGGTTGGGGAAGACCACCTGCACGATCTGCGATTCCATCTTCATCGTGGAGCGTACGTCGTCGAAAAGCGCGGCGAGGCCGGGTTCTGTCTTTGGCGGGCTGACATCTGGGTCGGGTAGCGTCTCCCAGAGCGTGTTGCTCTCGACGGTATTAACGTCTTGGACTCTGTGCTTGGAGATGAAGAAGTCGTGCTGGTTGACGTAAATCTGTACGCAGGATGCGCCACCGTTGAAGTCAAGCAGCGTTTGTGCGCAATGCTGAACGGGACATCAGGTTCAGGACTGCACAAAGTAGGAGAAAATACGGACCGCCATCATCTTGGGGTCAGACTTGCGGTAACACTTGTCGAAGAGTCGCAGCATGTCCTTTTCAAACTTCTCGCAGTACTTGTCGATGGCGTCTCTCGTCTTGTAATGCGTGAGCGTGCATGCAGTCCAAGCCGGCTGCATACATACCTTGTCCGCAGCTGGAAGATCGACTTCCTTGGCTACGACGTTGAGTCGTCGAAGGATGATCGCGGTCTGCGCGCGTCCGTCGCGTCCGCCCTCCTTTCGTAAAGCATCCAATTTCGATGTGTCGCCACGCGAGAACTGGTTGTAGTAGTCTACGAGATCATACGCGGCCTGCGCGCGTTGTCGTGATACGTGAACGGACTCTAGTTGCTCGCCTGTGCGTGGATTCAGCACGCGTGCGCAACATGGTGTCTCCGACTACGCACCGACTCGTATGGCGGTGCGTCCGACCTCGTTAATCTTGCTCTCCATGCTCGTGAACGACTTGGTCACGGTGTCGAAGCCGCCGTTAATCTCGCCCATGCGCTTCGAGTAGTCGCGCTCTGCGGAATTGACGCTGGTCTCTGCCGCCTCTGTCTGTTTCTGGAGCTCCTTGCGGACGGCGATGAGCCTGTCGACGGCGAGCTCGAACGTGCGAATGAACGGTTTCGGGTCATATGCTGCAGATGTTTTGTGAGCGCGATAGTGAATGGAACGCTGGACACGCACGGCCGGCGTCTGCTTTGGACTGCGCAATGAGCTTCTCTGAGAGCGAGGAAATGAAGTCCTTGACGTCGAATTTCTCCTGCAACGCGGTTAGATCCAAGACCTATGAACTTTTCTGAAGTAACCTCGAATGTCTTGAGCTGTAGATGCTCCTCGACGGCCGGGTCGAGCGTGTAGAGTGGAAGCGCCATGAAAGAGGATCGGGCGGACTTGGGAGCGCGCTCCCGCCTCTTGACCGCGCACTCGATGCATGAGCGCCAGATTCGGGCTCAAGAGCAACAAGCTCGTCCCCAAGCCGCGCGCACCTAAGCTCGCGCCCAAACTCGCTCAGCTCTCCAGACAGCGGCTCTCGCAGCCCCAGGATGGCTCGCTCTACTACAGACCACCGCAGAAGCCCAAGCAGCCCAAGCGACACGTCCTGCCGCCGCCAGACTTCTCCGCGCAGAGACCCACTGGCAGGTCGATAATAATGGAGGAGAGGAATATCATCGTCGAGCCCGAGGCGTATGCGCGACACAAGGCTGCCGAGCCTCGCGTTACCTACGACCCTCGTCTCAAGGACCGCGTCATGACCAAGGACGAGCGCCGGTGGTGGTCGAATCCATTTCGTGAGTCACGCGTCGCGTCGCGAGATTAGACCGAGCTCATTGCCGCGCAGTGAGAATGCTTTCCTCGGGCGTTCGACGCTGTACCCTCACTTCGCGCTATATGACAACAGGTGACTTTACATGTACCACACGTGTCTGCATTGTCTCACTGTATGACAGATCTCCTCATTCGACTCTCACTGCAGCGCGTTCCTCTGGCCGCAGCGCCGCCCTCCGACGAGTCCAAGCCAGCGAAGCGACCTCGCACAGACGGCGAGGGAAGCATCGTTGCCATCCTGCCCGACAATGACCCAGAACACATTGTCAACGGCCGCGGGTTCTACATCGTTTGCTCGCGCCGAATGTTTGAACGCATCCCGAGCAAAGGCCTTGAATACGGCATGGACAAGCGCCACGAGATGCATCCCGACCTCACGAACTATATCGGTGTCCTCCTTCGTCAACGCATCATACGCTGTCTCGAGCTGCTCGAACCGGAACTACGCATTGGCTCGCACGCTATCGAGCAGGTGCCGCTTATTCGCAGACTGTCCTGGGCGGAATGGGATCTCGCACGAGAGACGGGCGTCTTGCCATCCTCCGATCCCGACGCGTTCGCTTTGGTACTTTTTCGAGAACCGAAGAAGGGGCCGAGGAGGAAACCACCTGAACCGCGTCCTGCCCCGGCGCACTCGTGGTTCGGCGTAGAGGGCAAGGGCGAGCGCATGGTGCCACTGTACGACACCTGGAAGCTGTTCCCAGACGATGCTACACGAACGGACTTGCGCAAGAAGCTCAACGCCGTTCTGAATGTTGAACGCGTCTCGCGGTGGCGCTCAAAAGCGCTGAGTCCCGAGGAAATTGCCGCCCAGAAGGCGCGGGGCTTGATCGATGGCAGCAAGCAGGAGAAAGAGAAGGACAAAGATACGGGTCCGAGCGACGCATATGTACTGTGCTCCAATGCAGCAACACTATTGCGCGCCGACGTTGTGCCGACATTGATCGCACTCTGGAGGTTGAGGATGTGGGAGGATGTGTACGGAGATGTGGATAGTTTTGGATTTGCATGGAGTGATACTAAGCCCCCGCTTGACGCCGTCACATAATACAGTACATACATGTTCTGCCGAAAGATATAGCAGAGCGACTGCATGCCAGCATCATCGATATCCGATACGACCTGTCAGAATGTGGTCGTCTTGTGTGGTTTCCGTGGTCCGCGCTTGCTCCGCTTTGATCCAGCACTATAAGTACTGCCCATGTATGCCTTCGCTAG